CAAGAACACATTTTTTGTTCAGAATCGATTGCAGATTCAGGAAAACGTAATCCAATTACATAAAACTAAGATATGCAAAAGTTATGAATACATAACCTTGAAGACAAGTTGGCCTAGGCCGACCTTGGCGTCAGATCGAAATCATGTAGTTTTAATGACCTTTAATAGATATACACTTCACCTAAAAATTACTTAAATCCCTGAAAGGGTTTTTGAGTTATTGCGGAAAGTCGTTATTATTTTTTTCTAAACAACACCCTGTAACTCCGTGAGAGTGCATGGCAGAAAAATATTTTATAAGAATTTTAATCTTATTTTGGCCTGGTCTACCCCCTGGTAAATTTTTGTACGCTGACACTGGGACACCCTGTATATAAATAATCTTTAAATGTATTTCTATTAACGATATTATAGAGTACACTACGAAATACATTCTCTTAAAGTAATTTAGCAACTTTTCCACTAATGTTGTTTCCACAAAATTTTCAGACTGGAAAATTTGGTTTTCCTTTGATAACACAGCCCCACAAAAAAAATTATCGGATCTGATATTCAGACCCATGTATTTCCATGTATTTTTTTCGGCAGAATCCGAATCTGCCTTCAGATATGGCCCAACGGGTCTGAGTTTTCGGGAAAATTCAAAAAACAGGTTAAAATTCACAAAAAACGTCATTTACGATAGACGAAAGTTATAAAAAATCAAATTATTCTACCAGCTCACTAGACATATGATTTTTCACTAGTTTAGTTGCAATTTATCATCATAGAGTCAGACAAGCTGATCCAAATTCATTCAAAAACAGAAAATAGATCAAAATGCTTAAAAACGCCATTTTCATGGCATAATTCGTGTTGCAGAGTTCTGGATCCATATTTTTTTCCACCCACCCATTTATGAATTCATACATCTTTCTATCATCCACCTGTACCACCTATAAAACCCACCCGTCCACCCATCTATCCATCTACTTTTTGTGCTGAGAGATGAGATAATAGCCTAGAAGATTGAGAATGCAATAAAACTTGTAGAATACTCTACTTTCTAAACAAAAGAAAACTATATCTACAAATCATTCTTATTTTTGTTGCCATAACGTGTTCTTTTTTCTTCAAAGGATCTATGCAACGGGATACGCTTTCGTTTAGTCCCTGTATTTTTCGTTTCTCTTTTTAAGAGCTAACATAAATCGGCCATCATGTTGTGATCCCATCTTCCTTGATATCGCTATTCTATAACCTTCATATCCTGATGAGATTTAATTTTTGACAAATGAAAAATAACTTCTATTGTGAAAGAAAATTTGTTCTAAGAAAATTGAAATTCTACTAAAAGTATTTCTCTAAAAATATAACTAAACCGGGATAATATTAGTAAAAGGAAATTTTTTAATTAATTTTCCTACAACACTTTTTTTATTTGACGAACGTGATATTTTGCAAACAAATTTTGGGTATTTTATCAGTTCAATTTGGAACCGGTAGATACCTGAATATTTTTATTAAATTTATGTATTCAGGCGAAGAGCCCTTTCTTGAGGTGATCAAGTAGGAAACTTCACTTATAAAATAGATTTCTAATATGCGAACTATGACCTAACATATAAAAAAGCCAAAAGCTTCGAAAGAAATGTTTTTGATTTTTCCTCTCTGCTTAGGTATCTGAAATTTTTCACCAGAATTTTTAAAAAGACGAATGAGGCTTCCAGTTAGGTGACTTCACTTAAGGAATAGCTTTATATCACTGACAATCATACTCCAACATAAAAAATAAGTTTGGAAATAATGTTTTCGATTTTTGCTCTCTACTTAAGTACCTGTTTTTTTACCAAAATTTTTACGAAGCCGAATCACTCCTCCTTGAGACTTCCACCTAAGAAACTTCAGTTAAGTAATAGCTTTATACCACTGCGAACCATGCTCCAACATAAAAAAAAGGTTTTGAAATAATATCTTCGATTGTTCTCTGATTAGGTACCTGAATATTTCCATCAACATTTTTACGAAGACAAATAAACCTTCTTTGGGGCGTTCAGCTAGGAAACTTCAGTTAGGGAAGAACTATGCTCCAACATAAAAGTATTTAAAAAATGTTTTCGAGTTTTGCTCTCTGCTTAGGTACCCGAATTTCATCAACAACATACAGGGTGTTAAAAAAAGAGTGTAAAATATTTCAGGAGGTAATAGTAGAAAAGTCTTAATAAACATGGGTCCGCAAAGTAACAGTTGCGGAGATATGGACCACTATTCGTTTTTCAAACATTTTATTTTATTAGGAATAAACCGACAAAGGAAGCTTTTAACAAACAAAAAACAAAGTTACAGAAGATGTTCAAAGTGCCCTCCGTCCATTTCCAAGCAGGCACGACATCTTCGTCTCAACGATATTCGAACTCTTTCGAAAACACCCTCCTTGGTTTGGATTTCTTGACACTTTTGATTAATCCGTAGCTGCAGCTCTTCCAGGCTATTTACAGGAGTACCATACACTAATGTCTTCAAATATCCCCAAACAAAGAAATCTAGAGGGTTCAGATCAGGCGATCTTGGAGGCCATAAAACAGGTCCGGCCCTTCCTACCCATCTATGTGGAAAAGTTTGGTGTAAATGCTCTCTAACGGCCATGGAAAAATGAGCTGGAGCACCATCATGCTGGAACCACATTTGTTGCCTCTGATTCAAAGGAATGTCTTCCAAAAACTCATACAGTGTGTTCTGCAGAAAGTTGAGGTAAGCAGCGCCTGTTAATCGGTTTGGTAAAACAACAGGACCTAGAAACCTGTCACCTACAATACCCATCCAAATGTTTAATGAAAAACGTGCCTGATGTCCAGATTCTATTAGAGCATGAGGATTTTCGTCGGCCCAAATATGCGTATTGTGAAAATTAAACACTCCATTTCTTGTGAACCCGGCCTCATCAGTAAAAAGAATGTTTGCAAGAAAACGAGGGTCTTCAGCATCATGACGTAGAAACCAGCGGCAAAAAACCAAACGTGCTTGATGATCATTTATTGGATTTAAGGCCTGTACTCGTTGCACATGGTATGGATAAAGCAGTTGCTCGTGAAGGATTCTCCAAACAAGAGGACCACTAATTCCTACCTCGGCTGATATTCTCCGCACACTCGTACCTGGATTCTGCTCTACCAGTGCTAGAATTTCTTCTTCTGCTCTAGGAGTGGATACCGACCTTGGTCTTCCGGATAAATGGCACTGTTTGCTCAAGGAACCGGTATCACGCAATCTTTGGTGAATTCTTCCAAACATGCGTTGTGAAGGAATCTGGCGATTTGGATAAGCGTCAACATAAAGACGTCGCGCTTCGGTGGCGTTCCCATTAGCACGACCATACATGAAATGCATGTCTGTTAATTCTGCGTTAGAGTAACCAGCCATAGCGAAAGAAAACTTGTGCACTGAGAACAACTGTCAAATACGTACTGTTTATTTCACTAAACATCAACCAACTATTATAAGAAAATACACAACGTTTTTGCAAAATAAAAAAAGGGGCTAAAAAACATAAAACATTCCATATCTCCGCAACCGTTACTTTGCGGACCCATGTTTATTGAGACTTTTCTGCTTATTTTGGTTCATACTATTACCTCCTTAAATATTTTACACTCTTTTTCTAACACCCTGTATATATGAAGAGAAATAACTCTTTCTTGAGGCTTCCAATTAGGTAACTTTAGTTAACGAATGGCATAAAGCTATTAAAATTTTGGAATTTAAATTTATGTGTATATTTCAAAGATGTTGTCTTTAAAAAAGTGAAATTATGTAATTTCCAGAAGAAATGGGACAATTTTTGTAACAGGTTTTAAAATTTTTATTTAAGGTACTATTTTGTATTATCCAGGGTGTTTCAGGATTAAGTCGACAAACTTTAAAGAAATATTCCTCATATAAAAATAAGAAAAAAAATCAAGTATAATTTTTTTCCAGAGACGCTTCATTTTCGAAATATACGGCGTTAAAGATTTAAAAAAAAATTCGAATTGACACATTTTTCCATAAAAGTAAAAGTCCCGCAAGCAACCAGTGGCGGAGGTATAGGGACTCAATAAATTATAAAAAAATTAATACGGCCCCACTGAAAATAAAAAATGATGCTGTTTTTACATAGAACAGTTTGTTATTGACAAAAAGTGTACATTCACTTTTTTCCTAACTCTTAATAGTTTCATGGCAAAATTGATTTTTCGGAAGGGTGCTTCTGGATTCTGTCGATAAACTTTAGGAAGACGTTCCTAATAAAACCTAAAAAAATATAGTACCTACCTATTAAAATTGGTCTTACTCTCGAGTATGTGTGTGTCAAATAAGCCTTTTTGTCTCTCCTTCCATTGGGTTTAACCAGTAGTATTAAAATTATTTAGGAGATGCTTCGTTTTTGAGATATAGGGTGTTTTTTTTAGGAAAAAAATGATGAAAACAATAGAAATATTTAAGTCCCTAACATGTAATGTGACTATGTCGTAATGCGACAACGTAACGATCCTTGCAATACTCCAAAATTTTTTCAGGCGGTTTGTAGTCACTTCATTTACGTGTGTTTGTGTACTTTTAAATAAAATAAGATGGCAAACAATACATGAAAATTTATTTGTAAATTGAAACAACCAAAAAATTACCAATTAGTATTATACCTAGACAAAGCGAAAAGTGAATCAAAAATGAAATGATTTAAAAAATATTTCGAATTTTTAAAAAAATCTTTAACGCCCTATATTCCGAAAATGAAGAGTCTCTGGAAAAAAATTATACTTGATTTTTTTCTTATTTACATCTCCTTAAAGTTTGTCAATTTAATCCGGAAACACCCTGTATATTATCAAAGCTATGAAAAAATCCATCTTAAGCTGGACACTATAAAAGTAAAAATATGGTCATCAGTTCTATGAAAAATATCTAATTTTAAAATAAATCTAAAATAAATAGATAATGTTTAATTTGAAACGATTTAATAAACATGTATTCTGTAACACTTACTAAAAACAAAAAACTGCTACTAGGAAATGGGAAGTAATTAAATAAAATAGGTGTTTTAATATAAAACAAAATTAGGATATCAAATCAATTAAACCTAAATACGTATACAAAAATAATTCAAGGAAGTCTTTGGTTACAATTTTAAAATTTAGAATTTCTACGGTTCGAGATCTTCTCTTCTATAACATCCGCTTGGAAGAGTATTAACGATTTGTTCGATATTTTCCACTTCTAACTGTAGCAAAACAATTTGACTTTTATATTGGTCTATTAATTCATTCTGGAGCTTGTGCTCTTTCTCCAAATCCTGTAACTTTTCCTCAAGCTTGGCATCTCTTATCCGTTCCTCTGTAATACGTATCTGTTCTTCCAGTCGGTCTATATCTTCATCATTTAAGTTTGGTGAGTTCTGCAGTTCCGCCAATATTTTATCTATGTCTCCCATCAAGTTTAGTATTTTTTTCGATGCTTCGTCTGTATCTCTACCGGCTCTTCCCACCTAAAATATAAAACAGATAATAAACACCAATATTATTTAAACGTGTAAGACTCACCTTTTCTTTGGCCTGGTTCACCAATGTGTTATTGCTTTTGGTTTTCTCGAAAAGATTCTTAAATTCACCTTCAGTATTTCGAACCCTATCAAACATCAACTCAGCCTCTTCGCTCAGGGCAGTCGTATTTTTATATAACACTTCGGCGTCTTGTTTGATACGTTCCGCTGTCATGGAAGCATTTTTGGCAACCACATTAGCATTAAGGGCCTTTTCCAAAGCTAAATCAGCGTTTAGTTTCGCATCATCTAAATTTTCTTGCGCTTCGTTGGTGTTACTAAGCGTGCTGTTGATTATCATTTCGATTTCTGCAATTGTTTGCAATGCCTCTTCTGCTTCTTCTTTACTTTTCTGTGTTTGTGTATCAAACTCTATAAAATAAATAAATTACAAAAGTTTTGACAGACAGTACTTAAATTTGAAAATAGGAAGAGAAAAAATAGAATGTCAAATTAAAAATATTAAATTTCAAACTCTTGAAGAAACAATCAACTTTTGTTTTTGCGAAACAATATATATCTCTCTAGCAGTGGTGCATCTGAGGATGTTCTAAAACTAGTCTAAAACAATTAAAATATAAAAAAATTTCTACAAATGGAGAAAAATACCTTCTAATGGGGCTACATCCCCTTAAAGGTTAACCCCTGAAAGTTATTTTTTCCAGATATCTACAAAATTTTGTGTGATAAAACAATTAAATTCGGAATTGAGTATTATTGTTGTTAGATCAAGGGTTTTTCAGGCTAGAGGGATTGTGGATAAATATTGCTTTACCCTTTTCAATTGCTTGCACTGAAGCAAGTCTTACTTATTCGCTCGCTAAACACAAACTAAGCATGGCAGATGCCGACAAAAACCGTTATGGACAGTGCTACTAATAGACGAAAAAAGAATCAACTCGATAAGATACTGCACGCGCAATTTGAAAATTCTCGTTATTTTTTTTTTTAGTCCAGGCGGTAGAGCATTCGAGGCGTTTGTATTTGAAGTCATCTATTTTATTGTACAGAAAAATCCCAATATATTATGTATAATAAGAATCCGAGTTTGACTATTCCAAAAAACCATTGCTAAATTCAGGGGAACAACAAACATACAAGAAGAACGAGAAATTACCCGTTTTTCGACATATTTTTCCCTGTAACATTGAAAGTAAGCCCTAAATCAAGAAAGTTATTCTTCACAGCAACAGCGAATAAAAAAAGTTCAATTTTACATTTACAATGGGCGAAAAATAGGAGAAAATCATATGTATATTTGGAGCAATTTTTAAAATAAGTAAATATTTATAAATATTGATGAAACTTTGTAAACAAATAGTAAAGCATATGTTAATTCTACCCAAAAAATTGTGCAACGGTCGATCGCGTGGCTTTCGATTGACAGGATTGTTAATTAAGAAATTTTCAAAAAGTTTATCGCGTACCGTGGGTTTAAATTAAGGTTTAGAAAGGGTACATAATTTCTTAGAGATACTTGTTGTCATAATAAACAATGATCAATACTAAAAATACCTATTTGACACTTTTATAACCATTTAGATTTTTTTTTAATTTTTCATCATTTCTCTCTACAAACAATTTTTTATTGCCCAGAGAATTTTCTATGCAATCGACAAAATCTTGCACACATAAAAATTAATAATACACACTAAATAATAGACCGATCAAAATAACTCATTTAGAGGGAAAAAAAAAGTAAATTGTTACCTGGACTTTTATAAGTGGAAATGGTAAAGGGGCTTAAGATAAACGAAAAAAAAATAAATGCGTGAGCAGGGGCGACGGAGGGTTGATTTGGGGGGTTGAAAAGTTATGAAAAATTGTATCATTGCGATTTCTAGCGAAAGCTGACGTCAAACAAAAAAGTATCCAATATAAAAGTTGTAGATCATGCAAAAATCTACAACCTTTGTAGAAGTCACTTTTTAACATAACCTCAAAATTTCCGAGAAAAATGCGAAAAACAGGTTTTTCTCTGATTTTTCGTTTTTTTATTTCTCATTTCCGAAAAAATAATTTAATTTTGACGAAACTTTGTGAATAAAATAACCTCAAATATTTTTAGATAAAAAAATCAAGAAGTTTCTGAGATATTCATTTTTTTCGGCCTGAAACACTTTTTTTTTCAAAGAAAAATTCTACTTAAAAAAATCATCGTACAGAATTCTGCCGGTAATCATTTTTTTCGTTTTGACATATACTTTTTGCTGAAATAAAAGAATTTGTAATCACAGCTCAAAAACATGCTCAAAAATGAAAAAAATGACTTGCAACAATGAATTTTTCAGTTATTGTTGATAATAACCATAATTACAACAAAATTTGGTCACAGATTCTTAAGACAAATTTAGGGAACCCGTATTTTTTATTTTTGCCAAGTGGCCCTCTCTTTCGGAGTTACAGCCCCCTGAAGTCCGTCCCTAAGAATAATATTTTTTTTATATCTCTGAACCCTGTTGTACGAGAATCACTAAATTTGGTACACAGGGGTTTTATGACATATGGAATCTGATGGTGCTACGTTTTTTGGCGGGGTACCCCCTTAAGACAATTTTTCGTGGGCCCCCTTGTCTTTGGAGCCAAAAAAATTTGGCCGCATATTTAAATTTCCTAAAAATTATCAGTTCACTAGAAAGCCATTAAATTTAGAAACTTTTTGTTTCTTTATACTTTTTTCGTAAAACGCAATGTTTTCGAGAAAAATGTCAAAATGTAATCGAATGCATATCGTGATTCACCATTTTCCTCAAAAAACATTGCGTTTTACGAAACAAATATCAAGAGACAAAAAAGTTTCTAAATTCAATGGGTTTCTAGCTAACTAATAATTTAAAAAAAAAATCGAATTTGCGACCAAATTTTTCTGGTTCCAAATACAAGAGGGCCCACGAAAAAGTGTCTTAAGGGGGTTTCTCGCCAAAAAACGTAGCACTGTGAGATTCCACATGTCATAAAACCCCTGTGTACCAAATTTAGTGATTCTCGTGCAACATGGTTTTGAGATATAAAAAGACTTCTTAGTGGTATATTTCAGGGGGCTGTAACTCCGAAAAAGGGGGCCAGTTGGCAAAAAGCAAAAATACGGGTCCCCTAAATTTGTCTTAAGAATCTATGACCAAATTTTGTTGCATGAATTTCGGGACACCCTGTATAACTATTTTTTAAAAGCAAACGAAACTGGCATTGTATTGATTTTTGATGACATATTCGTATTCCTCTCATTTTGCTATATCAAATTAAAAAATCGTCTTGTAAGTGCTACTGTTCCCGAGAAAAGTCATCTTTTATCGCGCATACGATATTTGAAAACCATGCGGTGCGCGGCAGCGCAGCTGTTTTCAGTCATCACCACTCTCTGCCGAAAAATTACAGTGACCGCTTGATTTTTCTTTTATTAAGCTTATCTGCCGAAAATGCACTAAACGGATATTGAAAGTACTTGTAGTTAGCTATAGGAACATATATTTTTTTGACTTCACGATTACGTAAGGTATAAATTATTACTAACTTTACGCTTCTATATCTCAAAATCTACATAGTAGAATGCTACCGTATTTGGCAAAAAAGCAAGGGGTTACGACGTAGTTTTTATGTGTGCAAGATTTTGTCGATTGCATAGAAAATTCTTTGGGCAATAAATAATAATTGCTTATAGAGTAAAATGTTGAAAATTTAAAAACAAATTGTGTGCCCTTTCTAAACCTTAATATAAACCCACGGTACGCGACAAACTTTTTGAAATTTTCTTAATTAACAATCCTGTCAATCGAAAACCACGCGATCGATCGTTGTAAAATGTTTAGTGTAGAATTGACATATGTTTTACTATTTGTTCACAAAGTTTCATCAATATTTATAAATTTTTACTTATTTTAAGAATTGCTCCAAATATAAATATGATTTTCTACTATTTTTCGCCCGTTGTTAATGCAAAATTCAACTTTTTTGATTTGCAGTTATTGTAACTTTGTAGAAAATCGTAAAATAAACAAAAAATAAAGAATGCCTTTTTTGATTACTTTCAATGTTACAGGAAAAAATATGTTGAAAAACGGGTAATTTTTCGTTCTTTTTGTATGTTTGTTGCTCCCCTGAATTTAGCAATGTTTTTTTGGAATAGGCAAACTCGGATTCTTATTCTACATATTTGGGATAATTCTGTACAACAAAATAGAATACTTCATATGCAAACGCCAAAGCCTATACTGCTCTACCGCCTGGACTATTTATCAAATCTCGTATTTTTTTAATATATCACTTCTACACTAACCTGACATCAATTTATAATTGCTTTCGGCTCTTTCTAAAATTTCATTCCAAAGGTTAATTGCTCCATTAGCTTGACTATCAGCAAAAACTAAATCGTTTCGTAAATTGATCACTTCTTCATTTTGCTCGTGAGCTTTTTGTAAGAGTTCCCTTCCTTTATAGTTTTGTTCTTCAATACTTTTTCTTATTTCATTGCTATTGTGGAATAGTTCAGATGACTTATTTTTCAGTCTATGTGCTTCTTCTTTGAGATCTTTCGATTTTTGTTTTAATTTGGATACGTTTATTTCTGGGATAATCAGATTATTAACTTCATCTAACAGAGTTAGGGCATTGTTTTTAACTATAGCAGCCTTGTCGCTAACGTCTTTGGTCCACTCTTTCGATTCATTTAGTTTTAATTCGGTGTTCATAACGTCCTGTTTGATATGCCGAATAGCTTCTCTGACTTGGGTTAGTTGGGAATTTGCATTTTTTACTTTATTGTAAGCGTCTATTGAATTATTTTTCGCTTCTTTAGCTTTAAAAATTATTTCGTCTGCTTGAGCGTCTAACGAATCGGCTAAATTTCTAGCTTCGTGCGCTATATCAGTCATTTTTACAGATTGCTGGCCAACAATTTTTGATCTTTCTAAAGCGTCTTGAAGAGCTTTTTTGCCCTGATATTCGAACAGATTATTTATATCGTTCAATTTATCTGCAGCTTCTTCTAGTACTTGTTCTGCATTAAAAACATTTTTATCTACCACATGATTTTGGTCGCTTATTAAAAATATATTTTCGTCTACTTCAGACAAGGTGCGTGACATTTCCTGTTCTCTGTCGCGTATATTTTGCACTTGTTGAACTAAATTGTTTTCACCAGTAATATTTTTTACATTTTTGTGCAAATCATTAATGTCTTGTTCCACTTCTTTTAATTTTTCAGGAAACTTTTCATCTGTAATAACAGTTGGTTGATGTTCAATCTTATCCAGTATATCGTAAAGTCTGCTCAACTTATCGTTATGAGAGCGGACTTCATTTTGAACTAAATTATAGCACTGCGGGCAATCTACACAACCTTTCTTTCTGTCGTGTTTATTTTCTTTACATCTGTTGCATTTTAGACCCTCAACATTTTCAAGGCAAGGACACTGGCCAGTAGGATCACACTGTAAATCTTTCGATCCTATGCTATCACATTCACATTCTTTGCATCCTTCTGTAGAGAATCCATATTTCCTGGCTTCACAATGATCGCATCTTATACTAAAAATTAATACAAATTAAAAATCAGATCGATTTGTTAACATGTTGACTTATTGACAAAAAAGTTATTACAAAATAACGTATTTTTGGAGAATAAATAAAATATGGACAAAATTAACGCAAAAATTTCCAACAAACTATACCTCGCGGTTGAAATTATAGAGAGTGACTCAGACATAATATAAAAACTCTATTACCATAACGCGTATAAAATATAAAATGATTTTTATAACGGTTCAATATTGTTTGTCTTTTATGTAAATGATGTGCACATCGATAGGATCTATAATCGTCTATAGACTGAGTTACACTGAACGTCGATCTATCTTCTATTGCACTTATTAATGTTTTTTTAGTGAGTGTAAACGGACGTGCGTAGTACCTTGATTTAGCCATCGTTAGAAACGCCATATAGCCCGGGAGCCAGCGACCGTTTTGAGTTAGTCATTTGGTAAAATTGGTAAAAGCCGAACATTTTATCTTCTATCTCTGTCTATTGCACTTATTAATGTTTTTTTTTTTAGTGAGTGTAAACGGACGTGCGTAGTACTTGATTTAGCCGTCGTTAGAAACGCCATATAGCCCGGGAGCCAGCGACCGTTTTGAGTTAGTCATTTAGTAAAATTGGTAAAAGCCGAACATTTTTCCTACGCTTCATTTAGTATTACCAGTAAGTTACACTAGGAAAATTAGCGAACATAAAAGAGAAACTCGAAAAAATTCCTATTCGCGATATTATTGTGAAATTGTCTAAAGGAACATAATAAAAAACATCTCTCATCTTGTGAGTCAAAAAAATTTATTAGCTAACTTTTATATTTAAATAAATAATTGAGGAAAACAGTTTTTTCACTTTGCATGGAAAACCATCAATTTTAGCGAAAAGTGACTCTCAAACAGCTTGTAGGGAATAAAATTATCTACAAAATGAGACTTGTTAAAATAAAATCGGTTAATAAACAAAAAAGTTATTGCAAACAAACAATTTTTGTGCCCATTTTTTAATTTGTTTATAACTATCGCATTTATTGTTAAAATTTTATAAAACCTATGACAAGTTGAGGGTTTTGTCATACTTTAAAAGTGTGCCAAAAGTGGGTGCTGTAGGTGCAATAGTTTTCGCACAATTCAATTTGTTTATAACGGAGGCTCCAAAAGTTATTAACTTTAAGCCTCTGTACAGGCATTAATTTTCAACCAAACATGATTCTGAAAGCGTCATTGTAAACTTAAAGACGTAATTAAGCGACCTATTAAAAAATATCACCGTTCCTTTGACATTAACATTCTCAAATTGTGCATTAAAAAACCGTGCGTTTTTCGCTTATAAACAATTTGAATAAAATTGTTGCTATTTATCACCGAAAATAGATGCAATTAGTTTTCTTAAGACTACAAAAAATATATTCAAAGTTATATTATTATTTTTTATTAAAGATAGCATATACAATGTATATAAATAATTTATTACTAAACTTAACACTATATTTACAAAAACTTAAACTGTAGTAAAAATAAACACTAACACTATTAATGTTCTTTCAAGGCAACGTTGTTGCAAATAACACAAGTTCTTGTTAATTTGACTTGCACCAAAGACAATCGACATGACGAACAGTAGTTTTTGATCTCTCATCATATGATTCTGTAGTGTGGATATCATAATGTCTATGTTCGGGATAATCCAAACCCGAGAAGTTAATTAATACAAAGTAGCATTCCATGCATGACTTGTATATCCATCTCGGGTCTGAGGTTATCACAACCATGGACATTATGAAATAGAACATTATATGGGGATGAACCCTATTGTCGGGACTGATATCCACTAAATCTTCGTTAGATACCATAGTGGACCGAGCTCTAATAAATTTTGGCCCATCATTTATTTCTTCAACCACACCATTATCATTAAAATAATCATTCTGCATATCCCCTACCTATATATATAAAAAAATGACAAGAAATCTGTGATTTTACAAATTTTGAAGATTCTTAATTCGTCGCCACCAACGTCTTCGCCCTCGTCACCAGCACCTGCTTCCTCACCCACCTCGTCGACACCACCGGGGTGACCTTCGTTCTCGTCACCAGCACCGGCTTCCTCACCCACCTCGTCGACACCAGAATCTTCACCATCGTCATCAACCATATCACCATTGTATGGTTCATCTACTTATTCACCCATCTTGCCGATGCCAGCAACCTCACGACCCACCTCGTTTTCATCCATCCAGATATCCTATAGGTATAATACATTTCAGATTTTTTTTTGTTTCAACAAAACATTTTAAGAAAATTTTTCTCCAATTCATTGACAGCAAGATATTCCAAAAGGGCGTAGTCAGGTCTTCCCAATAGACAATAGAGGCATTTTTTTGGCATTTTTTAGAGGCATCAAAACAGTGGACTCGTCGTGCACATTCACTTCATCATGCACGACAATTACAGGGTCCTCGCGCATAACAGTGTCAATTTCGTTTTGCACATCGTTAGAAACACCTTTATCGTTTTTTGTTTCATATTTCACTTTCTTCGATGACGATGAATTTCTTTGTCAATTTTCGTTTCCTTGGTGACTTTTCTAGTTGAAAGTCATTATCCGAGAATGGAGATAGCGCTTTGGGAACCTCATGATGTTCCACCACCGCGCTGGTATATGCCTGATTGAGAATAGAACCCCCAGAGTTTGAAGTTATCGTTGCATTAGATACGAGTGCTACAACGGTACTTGGAACTGCTTGAGTTGGACGATAATTTGATGTATAATAATTTTGAATATTTCGGCGATCCTCAGGCAACATCGATTTGCCTGAAGTTGATTTACGTGACGTTGCCACTTTTTTTGGTGTAGTTGAGCTCCTACCCATTTTATTTTCCAAATCTTCAAAAACACTTTCACAAAGACTAACACAAAGACTGCCATAAAGATTAACACAGACTAACACAAAGACTTATACGAACACTAGCAGCTGATGATCCAAAAGAAGATGTAGAACTGAACTCCTCTCACGATGCACGCCCTTTTTATTGATATTTAAGCCCCACCTACTACCCACATCCCTTTCAATGACCCACTTAAAGGTAAAAGATAATGAAGCTTACCAGCAATTAGGCCATGCTTGGCCTTTTTGCCTGCTAACTTACACTACCCTCCACCTTAACAATCACAAACATCCATGGTACGACAGGAAAATTCGAAAGAATTTTCCTGTCGACCCACTTACTACCCCTTTCATTGCCCCACTCAGTCATATACCAATTAAATGTTATGGGTAATTTAAAAGTATTTAATGAAAAAGTATTACATTCCCTCATTTGATTCAAATATATTTTTTAATTAATTACATAGGTATTCCCAACTGTATACATTATTTATTTATATATAAAACAACCAACACACAGAAACCCTACTAATGAGTTGTTTCAGAACAATTTGGAAAGTCCATTAAAAAAAAATTAAAGAATTACAATACATACACAATTTTTAATGTTTCCAATATTAAAACTGTGTATAAACAATAAAAACTAAATTTAAACACATCAAAAAAAGAAATAGATAAAATCAACATAAAAATAATTTCACGATTTAAACAAACTATATTTTATCTAATTTAATTAATATTTTGTTTACGAGTAGTATTGCTATTAAGCAAGACTGGCATTGGCATGATCATATAGTATACACGATTATAATTCTTTTTGAATTCATAACAGGTTTTAAAACAGCCTTATTACAATTAAATGCATTTGGTAATATTAGAAATATGTATTGTTTCTTTGGATTCTATCGGGTACTGAAATTATTCTATTTTTATTGAAATTACTTTCTTTAGTGTAAAATATATACATCTACATTTTCTTTTATTCTTGCAGATATAATATATGGAAAATTTAAATCGTCTGACATTCCCTTATTTAATGATAGTACAGATCCAAAAAATGGAAAATGTTTTCATTTATTTTTTATGTCAAGTGTAGAAAATGAGTATGCTATATATTAACCACTTGTTAATATGATTGTTATTTACGAATTTTTAAAACGATTTAACTACTCTTATCAAGATTAAATATCTCGACAATTTTACAAAAAAAAATTCATTTCCAAATAGTGAAATAAAATATTTTTTTCTTTCGGCTTATTTTTCTAACAAATATTATAATGTACAAAAAATATTATAATATACAAGAAAAAATATATAACTTCATTTACTGAGTTCCTAGAAGGATGTCAGGATTACCACTTAGGTAATAGGTATGATTATGTTATTTACGGATTGTTAAAGGGATTTAACTATGCATATCAAGATTAAATGTCGACAATTTTACAAAAAAAAAATCATTTTCACATAAGGAAAATAAAACAAGTAGGTATTACTAAAATTATTTTTCTTTATTGAAAAATATGCATCGGTATATTTTTCTGATAAATATAATGTACAAAAAATATTATAATATACAAAAAAATTATATGACATTACATTCCTTCATTTATCGAGTTCCTAGAAGAATGTCAGAACCACTTAGGTAATGGGTATGATTATGTTGTTTACGGATTGTTAAAGGACTTAACTATCTCTATCAAGATTAAATGTCTCGATTGATAATTTTACAAAAAAAAAATCATTTTCACATTGAAAATAAAACGAGTATTACTAAAATTTAATTTTCTTTATTGAAAAAATAGATGCATGTGCTTATTTTTCTAACAAATATTATAAAATACAAAAACATTCCATCATTTATTTAATTCCTAGAAGGATTCAGGCTCCGTAAATATTTTAGTTTCCTCAGTTACTTCTATCTCTATAAATATTTTGGTTGTAAAATGAAATTTTATCTAATTTGTTTACTGTTGACATTATGATGAACCCTATCATAAACCAAAGTACCTAGATGGGATTGTAAGGATTAAATGTCTCGACAATTTTACAAAAAAAAACATTTTCACAGTGAAAATAAAACAAGTATTATTAAAAATTATTTTTTCTTTATTGAAA